ATCGCAAAATTTGATCCCCACTCTGACGAGCCAATCGAGTCCTGTAACATCAAAATAAAATTGGAAGATACTAACGAAGAACAAAAGTCTAAGAAAGGGTCTGGTCAACAAAGTATTCTGTGTAAACATATTGTCCTACATATGTTCTACCTTTCTCAAAGTAGCTCCAACTCCAAAGGCAGAGTTATAAGTTGGCGTATTGCTTCTTGGCCGCGCTCGAGCCATCCCAGCTACAGGCCCCATAGAAGCAGAAAAATTCAGCGGCACATTGCTTTTGCCAAAATCGGACTCTAAACTAGCAAATCTCGGAAAGGTGACTTCGACGCGAAAGAAACTTAACAAGTTGAGCAACAGAAAGATTTACATGCAAAAAATATTACCATTGAAAGTTGACCTAAATCGACCATCAGCCGTATGACACGGCCGAAGGGGTTTCAGGCTACCACCAGTCAAAGATTGCGAAAACATTGGTGGACGATTAGAACCACCGATCGACCACGGATCCTGAAGCAAAGCATTTAGGTTGGAAAAAAATAATTTTCTGAATAAGGAGGATCAAATTTTTAGAGATTTGAAAAAAAAATTAATTTGAATAGCCACGACAACAAGAGCAGACATTCCGGAAAACGTCAATGAGGAGCCACAGTGCAAGAAAAAAAAAATGAAAACCGATTATTTGTTCATTCTCACCTTATCAAAAGTATTACTCCTACATATATTGATATGACCAATAGCGTCACGTAATTCATCCACAGAGGCATTCATTGTTTTGGCTGAATCAGCCGGTCGTATGGTCAAACTTCGGATTTTTGACTGTTGTAACGTATTCTCATCCTATAGAAGGAGCATATCAAGATAATCAGAAAGAAGTTTACAGTAGTACAATAAAAAAGCCTAACCTCTTCATCACTGCTGCTACACGATGACCAGTTCGTATCCTCCTTGTCATTTTCCTGTTCCCTTATCGTGTAGCCCTCATCGTCAACAGGTGGGGGAGGAG